CTGCTTCCAGGTTTTGCTTCACCTGCCCCAGCAAGTAAGGGCATTTGAGGGCTCATCAGTAGATTCAGCAAATTAGAGCATGTTCTCTCTCTCTTTCTCTCTCTCTCTGTCTCAATCTCTCTGACTCTCAATTTTTTTTGTAAATGTACAAACAAAAAATACAGTTAAAGTAGCACCTACAGTTAGAAGATGTGATCTCTTACAGAAAAGTTACCAAAGCCCCATGAAATGCCAATATTTCATAAATCTGCTGAAACTGGCTTAGAAAGATAAACGGTGCTTATATGATTGAGCAAATATCTAGAAGCCACGAGACTCACAAGAACTAAAAAGACTGCAATATTTTTTTTAATAAACTGATGAGAAACTATAAAATAAAACAAATAGACCAGAGATTGCTTACTGGCTTTTATCTCCAAAGTTACTGTACATGAAGGAATGGCTAATGTACTATTGACCACTGGCATGTGTGTGATACAAATGAGGGAATCTTAGTGTGTTCACTGATGTATTAAAACAGCTTGTAAACATCACAAAGAAATGTAAAATTAAAAAAGATCATTTCAGCACATACCTGCAATCAGTTTGGTGTAGTGGGAAACATGCTGGCTGCTATGGATACTCGTATTCTCTGTCAGAGTAATTGAGCTCGAGTCCTGGCTGGGCTCAAAATCCCAGCTTCCTGCTAATGAGCTACTTTGGGAGGCAATGGTGATGGCTCATGTTGTCCTGTCTCCACTACCAATGTAGGAATTCTGGATTGAGTGTGCCTGGCTCCTAGCATTTGTGCATTTGGAGAGTGAACCCCTCTACCTCTCTCTTTTTCTCTCTTTTTCTCTGTCTCTTTCCATTTGTGTCTTTCTCTTTCTGCCTTTCAAGAAAATATTTTTTCTAAAAACATCAAAATTAAAAGGATATATAATTATGGCTATATAGTTTCTAGCAGAAATTTTTTGCTAAATTTTCAAGGAATAAGTAGGCAATTCTGATCTTACCTTTTGTTTTGAAACAAAACTAGTTCATTTTATAAGCTAGTGTAATCTTAATGCCAAAGCCGAAAGGGATAGCATGAGAAAGAAAGCAGTTATAATGAAAGCTTACTCTTGGGTATACACACAGAAGTCCTAACCAGCCAGCATCCAATTATGGTGGATTTGTAACTGCAGACTCTGAGGAAAACAGCCTGCTTCACTGCAATCAAATCTAGATAACAACAAACACGTAAGACAGGATCACACTCATATAAATTAAGATGATTCTACAGGGACCATTCAAAACATGAAACAAGCAACAGATAAATGAAACTTGGTCATACAGGCATAGGGTCTTTGGGATTCACAGATACTGCTTCTCCCTATCTTTAGTAAGACAAGGACATCCAGGACCTGGATGGGAACAACAGAAGCCAAAGGCAGAGAGACTAAAAGCGTGTTGCGAGGAGCTGACCCAGATTAGCAAACATCAGGGAATGGTTTTGTTCTGGGATTAGACATTCAAGATAAGCAATTGTGGGGATATTGCTCACTGAAGCAATCATTTCTGTGAGGCTCCCAGACTTAGACATGGATGGTTGAAATGGCCAGAGGATGGGTTTAGTTGCCAACTAAGGCTATTGTTTTTTTCAGAGAACTTCTAAAAAATCAAGCACAAATGACTTCTATTGAAGTCACCCCATTTCCTCTATTAATATTTCATATTAATATCTTTATCATAATTAATAAACCAAACCCAGATTCCTTTATTTTTTGTTCAAGATGGTGAGCACATGAATGTTTACCTTTCTTGCCATTCTTTGAAATATGTGTATATATTCAGGTGTTTTGGGTATGTGTATATGTCATTTTAAAGAATATCTGAGCCTGGATACTTACAATGAAGAGGATTTTTTTCTCACTACTTTGGAGGTCCAAGGTCAAGGCATTAGTTCTGGTGGGGACCTCTTGGAATAGGGATGACACTGGTTGAAAGAGAAGGAGACCACATGGCAAGGCAGGAAGCCAGGGAGTGATTCAGCAATATATTTGCTCTCACAATTTCCTTTGATGAGAACTAACCCAGGGTCCCACAAGAACTATCTTATCTCCCTCCAAGTACACATCCTCAACATATAACCAACTCTCACCTTTAAGCTCCACCTTAAAGCTCCTGTTACTTGCCAACATCACCACACTAGAGATTCAGTTTTCAACAGATGAATCTTTGGGGGACAAATCACATTCTAACCAGAGCTGCATGCATGCTGTATGTGTATGTGTATGTATATATATGTGTGTGTATATATATATAGATTCCCTGTATATATATAATATACATGTATATAATCATGAAAAGAGAATTAAATCCTGACATTTTCAACAAAACAAATGAAATGAGAGATGATTATGCTACATGCAATAAGCCATACACAGCAAGACAGCTGCCACATTTTTTCTCTCTTAAATGGAAGTGCATATGAGAGCTCTGGAGAAAGTACTTTCATCCCACATTATCTTGCACTGGTCCTAACTAAGCTGAGTTTTGATTTCCTGTAGCCATCAGTTACTGGATGCCAGCTATCCTAGGAAGAGAGCGACCAGGGCACAGGAAGCTCACTGGCACTGACACAGACCCTCAGGAAACTGACAGCTGGAGACGAGGGCTCACATGGAAGCAGCTGGGCAATGGATCCTTCTTGACTGTCAGTCAAAGCATTGCATGATTATGACAATGTATAAGGTAAGATTTTTCCTCCTCGACAGTAAAATCACTGAGGGATGACACTGGGCTGTACCTTTATTTACAGCAATGGTGTTATTTGACTTTCTTAATAGCAGCTGCACATCGTGTCACTGCCCAGAAAGTTTACTTACATTATCTCAATTGAAGAACTGGATGGTGTCATACAGTTAGAGCTAAGCATCAAATTGATGTGGTTGGGCTCAACAGACAGCTTTGCCCACCTTCCTTTGCTGTTTTCCCAGTGCATGGCTGGGACATGTATGAACCTCCAAGGTTTCTGCTTAATTTAGTTGATGGCACATACTATACATATTCTCTTGATGTTTATGAAATGATTATTTGAGAAACTCATTGATACACAGCAAGTGATGTTCTTACAGCTGGACTTATGTAGATTCCCCATAGAAAAATCTTGCAATAATAAATTCAGGAGACTTATTTTTCTATCATTGGAAGCTTGTCAGTCAAAATGGAATTCATCAATGATTTTCTTATCTGATATTCTAGATGATAGAAGGATGCAATCCAACACAGATATACATAGGAAATTATTTTGAAAATCCACTTGGAAGAGGTAAGGGGATATTTCTAGCTATGGGGACCTTGAAAAAAATCCTAAACTTTCTAGACCTCAGCTACTTAAAGCTAATTGGGAATACTAATATTTTACTCATCTCATAGTGTTTTGTACAAATTAATAAGTCAATACCTACAAAGGACTTAATGCAGTTCTTGGCATATGTGTTCACTAATGGTTGGATATTTTTAGAGCAATTATAGTCACATAAATAGAGTAACACCTTTTTCCAGAATTCCCAAATGCCAACCATTAAGCTGGCTCCAGGGGAGAGGAAATGGATTCTGCCTGCTTGTGGAAATTAATGTTTCTGGACAGGCATGTGGGAACAGCAATAATATTTTAGGTATTTTTATTAAAAGTTTAATTGAGATTATTTTAGGTCCTCATACATTATAAAAAATAATACAGGAGTTGTGCTGTGGTATAGTAGGCTAAGCCTCTGCCTGTGATGCTGGCAGCCCATATAGACACTGGTTCAAGTCCCGCACGCTACACTTCAAATCCAGTTCCTTTTTTTTTTTTTAAAGCAAAAATTTTTATTTATTTATTTATTTTTAAACTTTTATTTAATGCATATAAATTTCCAAAGTACGACTCATGGGTTACAATGGCTTCCCCCCCATACCGTCCCTCCCACCCACAACCCTCCCCTTTCCCACTCCCTCTCCCCTTCCATTCACATCAAGATTCATTTTCGATTATCTTAATATACAGAAGATCAGCTTAGTATACATTAAGTATGGATTTCAACAGTTTGCTCCCACACAGAAACATAAAGTGAAAAATAATAGATGATTTTTTTAAATGATGATGAAATCAGAGCAGACCTATTGTCATGTTTAATCCCAGTGAGAGTCAAGTTGGGAATTGATAATTTCTTTTTTTTTTTTTTTTTACAGAGGATCAGTTTAGTATGCATTAAGTAAGGATTTCAACAGTTTGCACCCCCATAGAAACACAAAGTGAAATATATTCCCTGCTTATGGCTAAGGAAAGCAGTAGAAGATGGCCTAGGTGCTTGGGCACGTGTACCCAGGTGGAAGACCCAGGAGAAACTCCTGGCTCCTTTAACTCAATTCCTCCAACAGTATCACCTTTAAAACAATAACACACCATCATAACTAAGATAAAGGCATTGACTGAATACATTCGCATATTCATATTTTTTTCCAGTTTTACATTGAAGTGATTTGGAGGCAAATACACTCCAATACACAGATAGACAATAGAGTTGGATCAAACCTACATCTGGTCCCAAAGCTGAGTTCTTCACCATTGTGGTATAAAGCATCTGACCATGATATTTTTACAAAGTCTAAAAAAAGAAAAATGATGTTAACAAGATCATCATCTATCACTATTTAAATAGAATAGCTTATTTTTGTAGTTCTAATAATAACAGCTCCCAAACTCTTCATCCAACGTTCAGTCCCCCAATCATAGCTGTCCATAGCTGTGTCTAGTTGATATACCAGTATTATAAAGACAATGAAGACAGTGGAAATAAAATACAGCAGCTGTACAACCACTTAGCATATTCTTTAGTGGTCACACCAGTAATCTTTGCAGATGCACTATTTTTTAGATGTTACTCGTTCTCATTGTACAGATAAGTAAATCAACATTTAGAGCTTAAATAATAGGAATCAAGTTTTCTTGTCACTAGGTCATAACCTGTAGTAGAGCCCAGCTTAGTCTAAAATTAAATTCCATAATCAATTTTATTTTTAATTTTTTCTAAGTAACAGAATGAAGAAATGTTGATTTGGAAAGAGCCTACTTTCCTATTTTCCACTTAATGTTCGTTTGGCCATCTTGAATCATCAGAGGTCAAGCATTGGGAGCTGATTTTCATAACTCGTCTCAGCAGCTTGTTCCCTTTGTAGAGCAGATGATTTGAGCAGCACTGTCTGCTCCACCATGGAAAGCTGAATCCACAGTTGAATGAAGGAGGAGCTTGTAGTTGCATCATTGGATGCATGTATTAAATAGTGGAAGATTGCTTTCCCTGAAAGAATTAAAACTATTAGCAAGGAATTTCAAGAGGCAACTGAAATTATTCTACATTGTTGCTGACTATTGTCAGAGGTTTATAATGCGGTACATTGAAAAGGTTATAGATATAATGTGTGTTTTACTGTTAGCCTCCCCAGTGGATAAGTAGTCCACACTTAGCCATGAGGATATGTTTCAAGGCTGAAACTGGGGATGGTACTGAACTCCATATATACTAGGTTTTTTCCAATACATGCATAACTGTGATCAATTTTTAATTTATAAATTACACCTAGAGTGAAATGAACAACAGTAGCTTATAGTAAAATACAATAGTTACAACAATCTGCTATAACAAAAGCAGTGTGATTGTGGTCTCTCTCTTCTCTCTGTCTCTGTCCCTTTCTCTGTCTCTCTCTCTCACAAAATATCTTAATGTATTGTTCTGTATTTTCTGACTATGCATGACCATGGGTAACTGAAACTGCAAAAAAGATCAAATCACAAATAAAAGGTGACCACTGTAGATCAATTAGATTTGAAGGAAAGTGATTTTTCTGAAAGTTGCCGATATTCCAGTAGAATACACTTCCTCCAAGAAAACAAAATTCTACTATTGTCGTTAACTTGTTCACTTCACTAAAACTTGAAAAAACCACTCATGTTAAAGAGAAAAGCTTAAAATTAATCAATCATAAAACATTTACTGAAAACCAAGAAACTGTACATAGTACACGGCACATCAAATATATGGTCCTGGTTAACTTACATATATAAAACCAGTGTAAACAACTAAACTATAATATAAGTACACATGATTACTCCTCGCATCACTCGGTTCACATGATATAGTCATGATAAGAGAGAACAGATAACCAGAAATCATATTTATTTGAGGCTCTCTCCCTTCCAACCCTTAAATATTGACATGCTCTTAGGCACTATCCTTAATTTCACTCTCATTTTATGCTTACCCTCTTCTGTGAATGAAATCAAATCAAATAATGCCAGCACAGCTATTGCTGGCCCTGATGGAACAGCAGGAGTGCCAGGCTTGCAAACTTGTAGCCAAAGTGGGAATGCGGTAGTTTATCCAGCTTTGTCAGTGGAGGCATTGAGACAGTGAACCAAACCATCAATCACTTCCACCCATCATGTGACTCATTCACTCTTCCATGACTCATGAATTGTTCTCTGTCTTCACATGTTGCTAGGCAACCTCTGTATCCCTATTGTGATAACTTCCTAAATCACTTCTATTGTCTCAGATATCCTTAATATATTTACAAATGTAGCCTATGTCTTTAAATGAATTGGTCACAGAATATTCATTTTTTGGTGAAAGTTCTCATGATTTTAATTTAAGTGGATTCAAGTTCAGACTCTGAATTTTTCAACAACAGATACAGCAACAGCAATGTAACAGATTTACTACTTTAATTACCATTGATTTGCCCAGGGCTCAGAAATTTGTATCTCCAAATAAGAGCTCCATTCTGATTTCCATGTGTGAGAGAGAATGTACCCACTTCCTCTCTGCATTCCCTCTTTGTGGCAAGGAAGGAACCTGATAGAACCAGGAATTAAATGGTCTTTGTCCATCAACTCTTCACCCTGGCTGCTGCATCAGAAGTACTCCAAGATTAACTGTCTTGTTCCTAGGATTTCTTACACTTTTGATATCTAGTAATTCTAATTTCAAGCAACCAGACATTTTGTAATGTTGATATCCACCATTCCTATGATGTAATGGAGTTTTGCAGTACCAAGGATGTTATTTGGTACCTTAGCTAATGATAGAGTAACTAAGTACTAAAATAAAATGAAGTAATCACTTCTAGTAACGTTCTAGTAACTCGCAATTCAACAATAACAGGAGGTGTAAACTATTGTCAAGGGCATTCTCTGAAATTCTTCCACTCAGCTAAGAAGTTCATGACTCTTGTGCTTGACAAGAATGTTTTCTACCACTCTGAGGATAAAAATTGCTAACATCACATGTTAGGTTATTAGACCATTGTTGAGAAAACATGCCTCTTAATAGAAAGGAAAATAGATGTGCTGCAACTTCACCCTCTTGGGAATTCTATAAATGGATTTGGAAATGACTTTGTCATATTTAATAAGCTCTGTTCATTTATGAGAAAGAAAGAGTTTAGTTGCCTGTAGACCTCACTACTTTAATACCACTCTGTGGCCTATGGTCAGTTTCCTTCTGCTTATTTCATTCATTCTATCATCATAGAAACAGAAGGGAGTACTAAAAAAGGCATCATGTTAGTGCCTAGTATAAGACATATTTTAATCATGCTATTTTCTTATTTGTATCCACTCCTGCAAACAATTGAGACAAACATTTCTAATTCTTAAAAAGACCTCAAGGGAGCTGCAATCTAATACAAGCAGCAGTGTACATAAAAATGAAAATAAGGCAGTATATGTTTAATTCTCACAGGGGCATGACTATCAATGACTCTATTGCAGCAGTGATTATCAAAAGAGGATAAAATATGAGACAGCCTAGAACTGAGTTTCAGGATAGTAAAGAATAGGATGTTCTTCAGCTATTCCTCCTCATTCTCTTTCAGCTAAATAATCATGACATAATATAATGCAGTGATGATTATACTATGAATATATAATTCTATTATTTTGTTTACCGTGTGTAACATAGAAAGCTAGCCAACGTGTGTGTGTGTGTGTGTGTGTGCATAAAATGTCAATGAGTGATGAATACATAAAAGGTTAATGAACCATTGCACCGGTTTTAGGGTTTGAGAAACATTTGGATTAAAACCCCTTACCTTGCTAGTTCAGATGTCCAAACCTGGTCCTGTGATCTTGTTTGAATGTGTGGAGAGTGTGTTGTTTGCAGGCCACACTGGGACCAGCAAGGCCAGAGTCACAGGGACCCAGAATCAAAGCTGAATCAGTCACTGGTGGGGACTGTCACATGGGGGCTGTGGAGGCAGCTCTTGAGCTCTGCCGTCACCTCCAGGGAGTTTATTTGGCAATCACCTGAGGAGCCTGATGAATTTCCACTCTCTGGACACCATTCCCAACGATGCTGCCCTTCAGTAAGTTGGATTGGGCTTGTGACTTTACTTTTCCGTCAGACTCCCAGGTGACTCCATGCTGGAGACTCAAGAATCACACTTTGGGTGACACCAGTGTAATGTGGGCTCTGAGGCTGGTCTACTGGGCTTTACATCTCAACCAGCCATGTCACTTTGTGCCTCAGGCAGCTCATATTTAAAATGGGTTAATCGGGGCCAGCACTGTGGTGTGGCAGGTGAAGCCATCACCTGCAGTGCCAGTTCAAGTCCCCGCTGCTCCACTTCCAATCCAGCTCTCTGCTATGGCCTGGGAAAGCAGTAGAAGATGACCTGAGTCCTTGGGCCCCTGCATCTGCATGGGACACCTGGAGGAATCTTCTGGCTCATGGCTTCCAATCGGCCCAGCTCTGTCATTGTAATCATTTGGGGAGTGAACCAGCAGATGGAAGACCTCTTTCTCTCTCTCCCTCCCTCTCTCTGCCTCTCTGGGACTCTGCCTTTTGAATAAAATAAATAAATCTTAAAAAATAAAATAAAATAGGTTAATGGTAGTGCCTGTCCTACAGGAGGCTGTGAGGAGTCGGCAGGTCAACATAGGTATAGTGCGGACAACAGGGCCTACTGTGGACACCGCACGTGGTTTGATTGCTACCAGCACTGCCACTAACAGTGACAACAACATCATGACCCAAACAACATCTAGTATCATAATAGGTGGGCCTTTACAGCAAACCTCAGTCATCAAAGAACATACTGAGTTCAGGTGAGCAAGAAAACAAGAAACAAAGCGAGAAAAATTCAGACTTAAAAACCTTGTGCCATCCCTAAATTACTTCAGTGCTTGCCCCAAACTGAATGTCCAGGCCTCAGAATTATGCCTCCTATAAACTGATGATCCAAACTTAATAAATAAGCATTCTAGATCTTCCCTGAAAGCAAGGCTATATTTTGCTTAAATCCAAAGTCCAACTGCTCACACATAAACTAGCATGGAATAGATATTCAGTTCTGAACTGAATGAGCCAACAAGCTCTAACTTTGGAAAGCCATTTCACTCCTCAGTTTATACTTTCATTATGTATGGGAACACTCACTGAAACACACACATGCCTCTAATGATGCATTGTCTTCTTCACGTTACAGATATAATTACAGGGACACAGGGAAGTTAAGTAACCTGCCTTTCAACAAGTAAGACGTAGAGCCAAATATTCCTGTTATTACTTTTTTGTGCCAACAAACTCATCAAAAGGCAGAGTGAAAGAGAGAGGGAGAGATGGTGATGATGATGATGATGAAGATGATGATGATGATAGAGAGACATCTTTCATCCACTAGTTCACCTCAAGAAAAGGCCTCATCAGCTAGCGCTGGGCCAAGTCAAAGCCAAGAGCCAGGGACTCTACCTTGTCTCCCCCTCAGGAGGCACGGTCCCAAGTACTTGGTCCATCTTATGGTACCTTCCTGGGAGCATTAGCAGAAAGCTGGATTGGAAGCAGAGCATCCAGGGCTTGAATTGTTACTCCACATGGGATGTTGGTATTTCAAATGGCAGGTTAACAGTGCCAAACACCAGCCCCAGAGGCAATTATTTATTACTTTTTTCTTTGACAAATTTGCACTAGGCAGTACTGCAATTTATAGGGTATTCATCAATGTATTTTCTAGAATTCCTGAAATGATCTCTTCTGATGATTAAATGAACCTTTATGAAAAATCCTACTGCAGAAATCACATGTATTAAATGGATCCCTGGAGGTTGAAAATAGCTATAATGTCTAATTAGAAATTGTTGAAAGAGCAGGGCCTGTTGAAAGGCTGATAATTAATTTTTATATTCTTCGACTCAATCAGGAAACTAGAAAGCTGTTTCTTTTGTGAAGGTTTTAGGCCTCTCTAAAGAATAGCAGAATGATCTAAGTAAATAATGTTTTCCTCTGAGTCTTCTAAGACTTCTAAGCTTTCCCTTGCATCCCAGTACCTAATGTCTCACAGCTTATAACACATACACTGATACAATTATAGACATTTTGTACAAGCAAATTTACTTGTGTCCCTACAGTAAAACTTCAGCATTGCTGTTTCTAAGATTAGTGTTGAAACATCTTTTTGTTGTTCAAATATTTAGCCTATCCTAAATAAAAATCAATCTTTCCTTTCTCCCTATCATAAATCCACAATAGCCTCCATGAAAGAATATTGAATTCTAGGTCTAGATTTGAAGGTGATGTGAGAAATTAGTCCCCTATCATCAAGTAACTGTCAATCACCATGTCTACTCTTTCCCACCCACTTTGAGTGCCCTGCACTCTATATGCTGATTAACCTGCATTGCCACTATTCATCACCTACTCTAGAAGACATTGCCTTTTATTTATAGATGATATAACATAGGAGGAGAGAGTTCAAATAAGGTGAAACCTGGTGTTCAGTCTGGGATTGAACAAATTAAGTCTAACTTCTCAGTCTCTGATCGTTCCAATATTTCAAACGATAACTCATTTAAAGCCCATAAAAGTCATTTAATTCTTTCCAAATCCCATGACCTAATTAGTACCAGAGCCACAATAAAAACGCTATATTTCAGCTACTTACACAAGATGAGCACAATTTATTTCTAAAAAAAAGAGATGTATTTTTGAACACTCTTTTAAAATTCATCCCAATAGGAAAATATTTCTAACCCACAAATTTCCCTTTTCAGGTCCCTAGAACACTCCTCACTCTCAAAGAGCTGCACTGTCCCATCCTGCTTTCAGAGCTTACTTAAGTAGTTGGCAGCCTTCCTGGATAATCTAAACCAATTTCCTGTAACTTTCCTGTCATATTGTCATAGGGAAAGACTTCATTTATATCAGCCTTTAAATAGCCTTGAATTTCAATGTTCCTCAATTTCTTGAAATGAATACCTCAACCACACACAGCATAATTTAAGACCCTTTTGAGCTCTGGATGAAAGCTGACCTGTACAGACCTCCTCATGTACTCAGGTGGTCTCCTAAGGCTGTAACATGAGCGATTTAGGGAAATTTGCAGCCAGAGAGCCAGGAAAATAATAGTTCAAAGAGGTAATTTAGTACTAGAACTGAAATTCTGAACTGTTGATTCTCTGTTCTAGATTCTTCCCTCCCCAAGGAGTTTGAAGTATGCATCTAAAGAGTTAACTTTTTATATTATTCTTCCACCTCAGTTATGGACACACTATTATTATGTGAGCAGAGGACACAATATGTGATTTCTAAACAAATGTGTGCAATAATTGTGGTAATAAATAATCATCATGGAGGACATAGAATGGAAGCATTGGTCCTGCACTGCTGTACTTGGAAGGAGATGTGCACACATAGGCTCTCTCTTATCAGACCAACCAAGATCTCTGTGTGGGCTGCCCACTATTTGTGTGTATTCAGTCATTCAAAATGGAAAGGTGCTGCAGGTTTTGATAATTTTTAAAATTTTGTTGTTGTTTTATTGCTTTTAAAATTGATCCCATCAGAAAATCGTCGCCTTTACTCAGTATTTTATACATGTAAATTGTGACACACACACACAAAATAGAGTTGGACTTGAAATTCTAAGGAAAATGAAACAATAGGGTGTGCTTTTCTTTAATGAGGAAGGCAGTTAAAGGTAGATGTAGAGTGATGGTTAGAACTAAGACAGAGATATGTGAGAATCACCCACTGGTAGATCCTGTCTTTCAAGTATCTTTAATATAAACTGTGGTACTGAGATCCTATCAGTTACAATACATGTATACCTTTATTTACATCTACATCTATACCTATATCTCTATCTGGTAAATGTATATGTTCTAGCTAACTTTCTATACATACACACATGCAC